CATTTTCAAAACATATAAAGGTATACACCCACCTCAAGTGACAGAGCACGACGAGCAACGGACCTACCAGTGAATCTTTCGGTGTTTTCGTATCTGTTTCAATACCAACTGTCCCACTTGTTCCACCTAACAATTTATAATTAAAATATCAACATATTTATCACATTGAAAAATTGATCATGCATTAATGCATGCAAGACGATTCAACCCGAAATGTCCCGGTAACCTCGATTACCGCACCGTTCACTCACATACTGGTACATTAGATGTAGGGATCATATTGCCTCCTCAAATCTTCAAAATCACTCACATTAATCGTAATTATCACAATTAGGATTAAGTAGGTCAAACACATTGACCAGGGGTCCATTTCCACACATTTCGACCCCGAATTCTAAAAATCGCACTTCCGACATTTCGTGCATTTCGCATCAAAATTTACATTATCACATCATACATTATTTAAAAATGCAGCATGCAAAATTTTAGGTCATTTGGATTAAAACTCACACATGTGATAATAATATTTAGAAATTAGGGTTTCGGTGTTACCGACACCCATGTCTAACTTTTATCGTACATTTTTATTTAAAACCGCTACACTTAAATTCACGTACACGTTTAATCAATGCAAAATAACCCTCTAAATTATGTTAACTCACTTAATTAAACTCAAAAATCAATCCACAAAATTTAAATTAAAATAACCCATTATTTGAACGCGAATAGCCCACCAAATTAAACTAAAATAGTATGTGAAATAAATTAAAATAGCCACTAATTTAAAACATGTTAAAACAGCTTATATATGTACAACATTTATATACTAAAATTAATCACAACCCATGTATAAATTAAGTACCACATACCTTCCTTACTCACGGTTCAAATAGACCCACGTGTGTACATTATTTTTTATTTTTTATTTTTTTTCCCTTCTTCTTCTCTTGCTCTCCTGCTCACCCTCACTTTCACTCACGATTTCTATAAAGAAACCAGACTCACACGCACACACAGAGCTTTATATTTTGATCACACACACACACGTCACACACCCACACATACACTTGAAAGGCCCACCACCAATGCATGACACATATATGAAGATATTTCAATCAACTTAATTAATTTCACTTGCCTCTTCCCAAATTCTTAAGTTATTTCAAAATCAACCCAATACCATTTTCATTCACAAAATTCTATATAATAAATAATTCCACCTAATTGTAATTAGTCCATATAATTATGCTAATATGTATGAAATGCATGATTGGGTCTCACAACTTTAGCAATTCCTCCTGTCGTGCCTATAATTTCGTCAATGTGTTTAGCCAGAATGCCTGAGTTATAGACACCCCCTTGGCTATTCATTTACTATTTGAAACAACTCGGTCATGATGAGGACCGACCTCTTCTATTCATTACGAAGCTCTTTGATAAGTTCGATTTCAAACTACCGACTTAATATATAATTATGTCTCAGTCACGTGACTGGTCTTGTCTTGCTCACGTGGGATCATTAGATGCGAGTGCATGTGTCACGTTGGGAGACACCCTCTTCATTTGCTCCTAAAAAATGTCTGACAGACACCTTTCATCTGTCAGCCGTTTTATGTCCTTAATCCCATCATTGCTCACACCTTTGGGACATCCCCCTTTGTTTTGGCGGCGAGTCTAGGTCATTTAAATATTGTCTTTTAGAATTCCTTCCCTTTATAAACAATTTCTCTTCATCTATCTTTCATTTTGCCTTTCCAGCTTCAGACTTCTTTATCTTTCTCTCTGTACTTTCATTATCATCTTTCTTTCTGCACTTCCTCCATCTTCCTCAATGGCCCCTCTCACGCCTTAAGAAATTCTAGCCTTCAAAACTAAATATAACATTGCAGAGGATGTTAACATTCGAGTGGCTGGTACCGATGAGCCCCTCATTGGAACCAGGGAGAGCATCTCAATCTACACTCGTGCGATCACAGAGGGCGGAGTTCGCTTTTCACTTGACCCCCTGCTCCTTTGGGTGCTGTCAGCCATAAAGTTGTGCACCCCATCCAGTGCTGCCCTAATTTCTTCAAAATAGTGATGGGTGTGGCCACTTTAAACAAGGTTCTAGACTTGAGCTTAGGGTTGTGGGAGATCCTGTACTATCATATCCTTAAACCGACTGGAGATAATTGTTACCTTGCAGTGAGGAAGAAGAACCGTTACTTGATGACTCATCTCCCAAATTCTAACAAAGGTCATGAGAATGACATTGTCTTTGTTTCTGAAAATTGGGAGTACGTTGTTGGTGTTGTTCCATCCCATCGCTGTCCGTACGAAGAAGGCGCACCAGGTATCTGTATTTTTTTTTTTAACTCTTCTAGATTAGACTTGTTTGTCTATTGTTTTTGACATAAGCTCTTTTGTATAAAGGTAAGACTGTGAAGGACAAAATTCTTGAGTCATCTGTAAAAATGGATGAACTTTGAAAAGTTTGGGGCTACAATGATTATTTGTTCTGCCGAGCTGCACACACTTTGACTGGGTACACGCCAACCTACACGTCCTTCATAATTGTGCAGAACCGCTCCAATGCAACACTTGCCAACGTGTTCTCTTAGGTACGACCCTTTTCATAGGTGCGCAACGTGTTCTCTTAGGTGAAAACTTGACTTCAACATCATCTAGATGAATTATTGGAGTTCAACACTTTAACTCATATCTTGATATTGTTCGATTTTTTGTTTTCGGCATTTTTTCTAGCAACATAAATAATGTTAGTCACAGTGCCATTTACAAAAAAGATCAGAAAAAAAAAATGGTACATGTATATGCCAAGTGATAGTATTCAGTATTCACAACTTCATAATTATAATAAACAGTAGTAAACAAACGTTTTATAACAGTTATAGTTCTTATCTATCATTTATAACCAATAAACATCACGGTTTTCGTGACAGATTTTATTTGTCATTTAATAACAAATAAAACCACAATGACAGAAATTGTCACTGAAAAAATTCTAAAAAAAAACGATGTGTAGACTAGAGTGACAGGACAAAATAACAATGTTTTAAACCAAATAAAATATCACATTGGCAAAAATATACTTTTTTTTTTATTGGCATCATATTGTCAGAGTGACAGAATTGTCACTTTAACACGCACGTCAAAATTTTACAATGACAACTCAAATCATAGTAACACCAAGTAGTATTTGATGCTATTGAATGTCATTTTACATGGAAAAATATTTAGAAACCACGGAATAAATGTCATGGCGATAATATTTCATGACTTTCCTGACAATAACACACCTAAGTAATAAGTGTCTTTGTATGGCAAACAAGGTGTGCCATATAGTGACAGTATAAATACGTAATTTTTTTTTTGACTTTCAAACATATTGAATGAAAATACTTTATAAAAGTAAAATGGATTTTTGTAGGTGAATGCTTTTATTTTGAAACCCTAGATAATTAAAAAGATGATAAACACAATCACAAGTTTTTGAAGAAACATTAAAACCCTTTTGCTTCTCTTCTCACCTTAGTCTTTTGACGATTTCTGAACTATGTTCCTGAGCTTGAATCATTTATTCAAGGTCAAATACATTTTTTATTGTATAATTCTCAATGACCCAAATGTTTACTACTTATCTTTATTGGGTCAAAAATCCATCATAATGGACCGACTGGCCACCAAAAACCTTATGTTAATTAGTTTGATTTGGATATAGGCCTGAACTTGAACTTGGTCTTACGCTTACCTTACGTACGATTGGTGCCATTTTTTGTGAGGTTGGGAGTGCTCGCTTATTCTTTGTCCCTTGCGGCCTTTATACTTGGTACAAGAGAGTAGAGGAGGAACCTTAATTTTTTTATTTTTTATTTTTGTTTTGAGCTATGATAATTGTAAATTTATAATAATATTTTATTTTATACATGTTTCCAATTGTAAAATGTCAAAATTGAAGCCCCACAAAGAGCACAAAAAGAAAAAACAGTAGTGGGTATAAAACGAAGCCAGAAATCATAGATTGGGTCAACATATATGTGATTGATATTCTCTGTCAAGTTGGTAATTGAGATGCGCATCAATTATCACAGACATTTTTTATCTTTGAATCAAAAAATAGTAACAAAAAAAAATGAAAATATTCCCCGTGGAAGAATTTTCCCTGTCACAAATTATAAAAGTAGTTATCCTAATAATAAGTGATCAGAGAATCTATCTACATCTACGTAACATAATAAAAAGGAGATTCTCATCCTAGATTTATTATATTATATTAATGAAAACTGAAGATGAAGAATCAGTCCCTCAATTATCTGGCGGAGGATGAGGATCGGACGACGACGACGACGACACGAAGATTCGAATCTGATCCAAGAAACTGAGATGCTGAGGTCTATCCATCCGCTTTACGTATCCTTTGGCCTCTTTCTCGGAGTAGTTACTGTACCCTTTCTCTCCATTCCTCTTCCACATCTCCACCGCATAACTCCTGTGCGCGTAATACGCCTCCGCCTCCGCCTCCCCCTCGCCGGACTCAACTTTGATTGGCAATCTCTCGTAATGGCCTCGGCTCGTGCCTTCCAACTCGTCCATGCGAACCAGCGCCCGAGTCGACACGGCATACAACTCGCCCCAAACTCGGTCGCCTGAACCAGGGAAGTTGAGCAAGAAAGGCACCCTGTAGGGACCACAGACCAATGGTAACTTCTCAAGGGTCCGATAGACGCCGAGGTATGAAACGTCTCCGGTGGCAACCATGTCCTGTATGAGGCTGTGGTTGGAGAAACCATGCTTGAGGGTTCCATAGGTGAATATTAGTGTCGTCTTCTCCACCTGCTCGTCCTCAGCCCCCATCCAAGCTGTATTTGAAATGGATCTGTAGAGAGAGAGAGAGACAGATAGTCGAGGGTGTGAGAGAGAGAGATAAATAGTTATATAATTGCAGACTTGAAAGAGAAAGCGGAGGAAGGGAGTGGGACCGGACCAACATTGTTTTTAAATAGATGTGACGAATGGTTGTGGTTGTGGTTTGTGACATAAAAATTTGACCGCGTGGGTGGGTGGGTGTGGTGCATATCGTTAGGTTTATTTCTTTCTCCAATAAGTATAGTAGTCTCCACAAAATATTATATTTTATTATATCTATTTTAATGGTGCATTTAATAATAATATTATTTTGGCATATTAATTTTTTAAGGCAATGATTTGGTTGTTTGTAACTCCATCTTGTACATGCCAAAGTGATCTTACCCGGCCAGTTTGTGGAGAAAAAGATATGTGGCATTGCAAAGCCACCTAGGCATTCGACGGCTACCCAAAGATCTCTTGGCTAGTATTTCAAAAACACATTAGTGCATTATTAAGACATATAGATATTATAGTGTGAAGAGTTGATGGCTGGCGGTTAACTTAAGGAACATGTGTTTCTAACCGTGGTGAAGTGACCAAGAAAAATGGTCTTGACGCTTAGAAATATGGCCTATAAATACAAGAGGGTTAGAGCTAAAGAAGAGGATCCAACATCAATAACACAACCAGTCTACGGAAAAGACATAAAGAGAAATGTAGTAGTTTCCTTTCAACTGAAGGGATTGAAAATGATTCAAGCTTTTCCATAGTCTAAACAATCGACTAGGAATTATCAAGTTCAATAATTCCATTGGCTTTAACAAGATCTCAAGTAAGGAAAGAGTTTTTGATTTGTCTCAAGATAAACAGCTTCATATAAGCATAGGGATGAAAAGGAAATAAATATAATCCCGTGTTTATGCTTATATATGACTTTCAATTTGTTTCTTAGTCATTGTTGTTATGCTACACCTAATCCTCCTTAAGCTTATAACTTTCTGTTCGTCATGTCTGAACCATATGTATGTATATCCGTTGGTTGTTGAAATCATTTTCTTTTAAGCATCAGCAAAATCGAAGCCCAAGTTTATCGATTTAAGGAATATTTATTGGACTTGAGCAATGCATAGCCGTGGAAGTACATGTTCGTGATCGAGTTCCTGCACTAAAGTTCGTAGCCCAACCAAATATGAGAGAGAGAAAGATAAAATAAGAGAGAGCATAGAAATGGTGGAAAATTTTACATTTTTTTAGTTTAACGGCAAATGGTGTTTAAATCAATTTACATGCACCTCAATTAATTTTTTTTTTTGGTCCAATTAAAAATATGTCATTAACAATGAGACTAAAATATTCATGAATGATAAATTTTTCATAATATAATCTCAAAAAATTTAATAAATTTAAATTTAAAACATTTAAGTTTACATTTTATCCATGTTATCACGATTTATCAACACGCTGCTGCAGCAATCAGTTTCCTTCATCATGCATGCTTTGTAAAGTTTGAATAAAGGTTGTAAAGCACGTGGCATGCCATGTACCTCTGCTTTAGCTGATTCATTATCTCAGATATAAAAACATTAATTAATTAATTAATTAATAGTCTCAAGTGGCCTGGCCAATAGGAGAAGCAACATACGTTAAAGTCGCAACATACAACAGATTGAATGAATTGTTGTTATTATTATTATTATTATTAATAAATAAATGCCCCATTTTTTTTTCCAGATAGCGAAAAGAAAAGGAAATTAAGACGGAAGCCAGTTCCTTAATATAAAGTATATAAACGCATCTTTTGGTTTGGGTTCGGAGACAGCTTCGGCTCTAGACTTTTTGGGCAGATAAGCACGATCCATTACCCATCCCATCCCACCCACCACCCACCACTACAAAAGAAACCCCTCTTTCCGTCTCATTTTCTTCTTCTTCTTCTTCTTCTCTATCATCTCTTCCGTATCTGTCTGCACTGCAGTCTCCATTCTCTCTCTCTCTCTCTCTCTCAAGAAATTTCCTCTTAATCAAAACTGGCTATAGATGGTAAAGAGTCCACTTTCAGAGAAATTGTGCCCAAAGATCAAAGAGTCATGGTAAGCCCAGTAAAAAGTGTGCTTTTTTTTTCCCTCCTCCTTTACATAATGGTCAGTCAGAGTGAAAATTTTGAAGTTTGTATTGTAAAATCGAATCTCAGGGTGTTGATGAAGAAGTTGATGATAAGGAATGGCCATCTTGGCTGAGGCCACTTCTCCGGACAAGCTTCTTTGGTCAATGCTCGGTCCACGCCAATGCTCACAAGAGTGAATGCAATATGTATTGCCTTGACTGCATGAATGGAGCCCTCTGTTCTCTCTGTCTTCTTACCTTTCACACACACCACCGTGCCATTCAGGTTTCATTTCTTAATCAACATTCATTAATTAGTGCTTCCGTTGTTGAAAATCCACTTTATTGGATTCATTGTAAAGCATTAAGTACCCTTTTCAACTTCTCTAATATAACGTATATATGTATATATTTTTATTTACTCTTTTATGTATATATATGTATGTATGGGTTTGTTTGTCTATCTCCAAAGGGGTTGGTTGGTTGGTTGGTTAGTTCTGAACTGTGCCGTTGCACTATTCTTTTTTTTGGAGAGGGGCAGATAAGGAGATCCTCATACCATGATGTGATCAGAGTTTCTGAAATTCAAAAGTTTTTGGACATAGCAGGGGTTCAGACCTATATCATCAACAGTGCCAAAATCGTCTTTCTGAATGAACGGCCTCAGCCAAGGCCTGGTAAAGGCGTCACCAACACCTGCCAGGTCTGTCAGCGTAGCCTCCTTGATTCCTTCAGTTACTGCTCTCTTGGTTGCAAGGTATACACATACAAACTCACACTGACTATACTACACCTTAGCTTTCACATTCACACCCTATCTAGTAATGACACCAGTAATTCAATGCAAAACTATAAAAACTCTCGAACATGATTTATAAGTTAAGACCCAAAAAAAAAAGGGTTCTGCATGGTAGAGAGCTTGTGTCGTGGATATTAATGGATTATGGTTGATTTTTCTTATTTGGGTAAATATACAAATGTTACAGATAGTTGGGACATCAAATAATTTTAAAAAGAAGAGGATGTGCATGGGCATGGGTGGCTCAGACTCGGAGGAGTCGATGAATATTGGCGTTGGGTCTGGACGTGTTAAGGATAGAATTCGGAACTTTACACCATCAACGCCGCCTCAAGCTGCCGTGAATTACAGAAGTGCCAAGAGGAGGAAGGGAGTTCCCCACAGGGCTCCAATGGGAGGACTTACCCTACAATACTGGTAGAGTACGTAATTAAGTAGTACAATTTGGCTGCTGCTTCTCTCTGTTTCAACTATTCTACACACAGCCGGCCGGTTTGGAAAATCAAGACATGAAGTTGTCTCTTGTACATAGAAAGATGCAATAGAGTACCCGTATATATACAGATCAATATAATTAAGAAGAAGAGATGGGAGTAAAAAATAAGATCAAATGGTGTAAAATTTAGGTGTATAATTAAAGTAAATTATACAGAAATATCAAAGAGGTTGCTGGAGGGGTTAGAGGTTTTAAATGCAAATATGTAGTTATGACTAGATATACATATTGATAAATAAATGGTGAGAGAGATTGGGGGGAGAATAGTTTGTAGGTAGCTTAATTAGCTACTTAATTGGAGCTGTGAAACAAATTAATATGTCTGTATATATGATGATGCATGGTTGCAATCCTTAAGAACAATGTAAAATGTATCTTTGCGAACGTATCTTTATGATCTGTTGTCTTGGCTACTTGCTCCAAAGCATGTCTGTCTGTCTGTTTGTCTGGTTTTGTATAACTTATGATTTTCTTGGTTCCTTAACAAGTTAGTTTCCAATAGTTCAGCATGAACTGGATTGTCCATATTAGGGTTAGGGGCCGAAGTAATTTAGTGAATAATTTACCTAAAATCCTCCACATGGCAAATATGTTTCCACCACCGTCATGTCATCGTTAATCCTTTAATTTTCATAAAACAAGGAGAGCTGTGAATGATAGCATGTAACTCACTCACCCTAAGTTTGCTTGGTAATTAATTACAATGTCTAGATCTCGCTCTCTAAGAGATGGTGAATTCGAGAAAGAGGGGTGAGATGTTGGGTTTGTGACTTGAGGAGTAGTCCTCTAGGACTTGCGTGCTATGCTACTTGACCTAGAGTAGCTAGCTAGTCCGGCCGGGAAGGGAAGGGAACCCGTGATGTGGACAGAGATTGGTTTCTTGTGAACCGGTATTAACGGTAATAACAAACCTAGTTGTCAATTGTAGTTGACAGCGACGGAGAGTACACTGTACACCCCGACCTTACCAAGTCATTCACCATATGAATGCCGCCACGTATAACTCTCTTTCCAATAAATAATTCTCGTCTAGGGAGGGAGGGAGGGAGTCCTCTCTAATCCTAATGCGTGACCCACCATCACCGTGTACATTGATTCCTTCCCTCTTTCCAACAAATGTACTCAAACTAAATTTTAGTTTTAAAAGAACAAATATACTAGAATCGATCTCTACGTTTAAAATAACTTTCTGGTTTATCTAAATCTCTATGTGAATATATATATATATATACATATATATTCTTATGACATATCATATCTGTTCTTGTGTCATTCTTCTTGTTTGATTTAATAACTCTTTCTTGGTCTACTTACTTGCTCCACCAACAAACCAACTTGCCTAAGCCGTGATGTCAACTGAATTTATTTATTTTACCAAATATTCATATGATGTTATGCGTATGCATATACCTATGAAGAGGAGGAGGTGACCAGACTCTTTAACTTCAAGCTTGCATGGTGACCCAATAATAATTTCATAGCCTTCAATTATTTAGCTAAATTATTAATGTTGTTCTAGCTAGGTCAGCCGCACCACCAAGAATTAAATCAGCTTACCTGCTGCATTAGCACCACTTTGATATGTCACGCTGTTGTTTGTATATATATATATATATATAGACTTCTTGCGCATCTCTAGACCACTCTATCGTGAGTTTCCCAGTGTTACCTTATGACAGCCACTATTTATTGCTTTTAACCAATAATAAATTAAGATAAAGATAGTCATAAGTCGTCATGATTCTAATATTATATTAACAATCCATTTGTCCAAAGGTTCCTTTTATGTGGGTGCAACAGTTGGATCAATAATGTTATGAGATTCTCAAACTCCCACTAGAATTTATTTGTACACCCATGTTTCATTTATATTAAAAACTTCCTGGTTTGTTGTGTGTAGCTGGTTGTCCAGTGGAATCATTCCGCTAGTCTGGCTGGTGAAGTCATGACACTTATTATAGGTTAATTCAAGGATGGATGATCAACTGCTGAAGCTACATGATTTTCATCTGCTAACTCAAAGGAAGGGCCGAGAGAACAATAGTTACACAGCGTCATTGGACGAGAAATAGGGCCATGGCTGTTTTTTTGTTTCTTCTTCTGTTTCTAGATCTTCTATATATTCTGCTGGAAAAGAGAGAGGGATGGGTTGGGAAGATGATCAAACAGGTTTGATCAGAGTGAGAGGAAGATGGGTTAGTGGGTCTTCAAAAGAATTTGGTGATCAGGTATCCTCATCAATTGCAGCCGTAATCAATCTGGACAATCATCACCGATTAGACAATTTTAGATATAAATTTCAAACTTGAGAAAACACTATGACACAAGTGGTAGTGGAAGATCAAAGTGTGCGCAGAGGCAAGAGATTGTCAGAACCATCAAGGACTTTTGGTATCTTGCCACTATTTCCCATGGTCCGAACCCAACCCTAATATGTTATGGGAAAGGTTTCCGTTACCAAGCCAATTATTATTTTCCTTCCTTGTGTGACTTTCCGAGGGAATAACCCACCCAAAAATAAAAAAAAGAACACCAAAATAACTCAATCGCCAAATTAATTTGTTAAGAAGTACACATTTCGGATTAAAATGACTCTAATACCCTTAATTATCTATTTACTAAGGTAGTATTTTGGTAAATGCTTGTTTTCGTTTTTTTTTTATTTTTGTTTTCATTTTATGCTAAAAAAAAATAAAAACATATTTGGTGGATTTTTTATTTTATTTTTAATTACTCTATTTTAAAAACAAGGCTAATATATAAAAACATCCTTTTGGATGTTTTTGAAAACATCAAAAAGAAAAAACAAACGCGCAATGGTGAAAGGATTTAATGGGGTCTGGGCATCGATCTTCCATAGCAACAAAATATGAATTTTTTTGCTTGGGTATATAAAAAGTCATCACTCTCGTTCACCTTTCATATTTCTGTCGTCTCTCTATCTCTCTGACTCTCTTGTGTTGAAGACAAAGTCGAAGCCACAACCACGAAGATGAAGACGAAGGATCCAGACGCCATCTCCCCTACTCTCCCTCTGTTGCTCTCACTCTCTCTCTCAACCTTCTCTATCTTGATGGTGGTGATGGATTTTGGGGAGTGGTGGTGAGGTTGGTTGGTGGTGGTGGGTTTTCAAGGATGAGGGTGGGCTTGGATGGTGGTGGGTTTGGGGGATAGGCGTGGGTTGGGTGGTTGTGGGTTTTGGGGGTGGGGGCGGGTTGGGTGGTTGTGGGTTTCAACCGATTGGGGCGGTGGTGCTGGGGTTGGGTTTCAGCTAATTGGGGTGTTGTTGGGGCTGGGTGGTACTGGCTTTCAACCGATTGGGGGTGTCGTTGGGGCTGGGTGGTGTTGGGTTTCAACCGATTGGGATATAATTTGACATCAAAGAGTTATATAATTTTAAAAATAATGTGATATCAAAAAGTGATATAATTTTAAAAATAGTGTGATATCAAATACAAGAAAATTGATGACCCGTCTTGTAGAAAACCAATAATGGGTATCAGTAACTGTTTGAAAATGATGAATATGAAAAATAAAGATATGAAAAAGAATGATTACAGTTTGAATTAATATACAACAAAAACGTTAACTGCAAATATATTTTTGTAATCTTTTTAAAATTCAAATGATTAATAGCCCATTAAAATAAGAAACCACTTGGTCAATGAAAACAGAATAAAAAAAAACCACTAAATATTGCATCAAATAAGTAAGGGCATTTAGGTACTACTAAAATATGAAAATTTAAAAATTTATACTTAGCCACCAAATATTTTATAAACAATATACTTACTAACTTAAAAATTTGGGCCATAGACTTTTCTAGGAATATTTTTTAAAAAGTGTACCTGACACAAATTTCCCAAAAAAAAACAGAAACAGAAACAGAAAAAATGCCCAATAGGCTTCCAGCAGGTGAAACCACCAGTCTTCAAAGAGAATGAAAAACCCACAATCAGGATTTGGGGGTAGGGATGACAATGCCAAGTGTCCAACTGGTTGATAAATTCTCATTTTTGGAGGTGATGCTTAGAATGGCCGTCTTAAAAGTATAATATTGGATAAAATAACAAAAAATTGTATCTTCTATTTTTGCATATTCATCACAAAAAAAAAAAAAAAAAAAAAGCAGCAGCTGTGACAGGCACTCAGCTCAATGTTACTTATATCTTCACATACAGAGCCAAACTTTGCATGACATCTAACTAAAAAATTTCAATTAGATATTGGAGGCTTCCTTGCCAGTATACATAATGTACAAAGGGAGAACTTAAAAATCATAGAAAATCAGTCCAAAAAAATAATTGGGGGAAAATAACCAAGGTGGCCATCACAATGTATTACAAGCTAGAGATCTGATCAGAACCCATGTCAGAATGAGCGGATGAGCTTTCATGATGGAATGTAAATGACTCTGCCAACCCAACAGCGTCTTGGACCCTTAGCCGGGTTCCCTGTTGCCCAACAACTACAGCTGCAACCCTAGCTGCTAATGTACCCATGCCTTTCAAATCTGACACACCCCTTAAAATACCATATAAGATGCCTGACGCATATGCATCACCTGCCCCACAAGTGTCCACAGGAACACACAACGAAGGAGGAATATAAACAGGTTCCCCTTTCACACCAATGTAAGAGCCTCTTGGCCCATCCGTAACTGAGACTACAGGAACAAAATGGCTTAGGTACCTTGTAGCAGAAATGGGGCTTTCCTTTGAGGAGAAATGACAGAAAGCTCTGGCTTCATTGCTGTTTGCAAAGACAATGTCGGCATAATTCCCCATAATTTCCCTGAAGAAGAAAAATAAAGTAACAATATACATCGTCAAATGTGTGTAAGAAGAACAAAGAGAGACAACTAAGATGGCAATGTACCATGACCAGGAAACAGTATTTGACCAGGTTAATACTCTTTTCTGCGTATCTTAGCTTTCCTGTGGATGCTTACTAAAACAGGTTTCTTTAACTATGCAGTGCACTGTCAAAAAAAAAAAAAAAAAGACTATGCAGTGCAACAAACATTCTAAGACAACGTTTATGTTTTGTCATATAATGTCAATTGATGAATTTGCAACTGAAACCTGCAATCCCAAATCAATTTTGATTCTTGATTAGGAAAATAAAGATTCCAATCCAATATAAAATTCTTGATTTGAAAATTATGCTCATTGGTAAAATTTCCATGGCATGTCTATCACTTTAGAGGAGAAAATTCCTTTGAACGAAGGAAGGACGTTATTTGCAAGGCCAGCCATGCTAGTTTCTGGTTCTCATAATTCACTGCTATATCCCATAGCCATATTTCTTCATGCCCAGGTAACATATGGGACCTGTGCAATTCACATTATATAATGTTTTCTGCACAGTGAGCTTTTAAGTGTCATTAGATTGAAAAGAACAGGGCAAAAACAAGTCATTAGCCAGTTTGGTTCCTGCTAAGTGAGGTGCTCCAAGGATGGATTAGGTATAAACTCACCTTGGCTTGCAACGCTACAGTTGTTCGCCCGCACTATGAAACGATCTCTATTGAATTGAAAAGAACATAAATATCTCAAACCAAGTCAAGTTAAAGATTACCAGAAATCATCATAATGTCTCTCAATGCAGGAGACATCCGACGCTGTGACAGCAACCAGAGCACCACTCCTGCGGGCATCTTCACATGCTTTTTTAATTGTTTTGATTGTATCAGGAAGCTCAAGTAAATAACCTTCAACTACAAGTATTCTTGTTTTACCAATACAGCTAGCCAGGCAAGGATCATAGTCAACCATCGAAGATGTGCCCTGACATGACAAATGTAGGCAAACTAGATTAGGATTGCTAGCATTCTTTAGCTTCCTGAATCATTCAGTATCAAAATCAAATAATGGCGTGAAGTTCTCTTAGAATAAACAGCATATCAAAACTTTTCAGTACTTCATGAGGAGCACCCTAATAGAAGAAACAGTGGAAAGAATAATAGTCTGACATTCATAATCAGCAGAGGAATGACTTAATAAAAAAACCATGAGCAGAAGTAAGCTATATTTTTCGGACATACAACAACCAAAATAATATCAGTCCAATCGCATAGAAAAAAGAGGAAGAGATTAAATCTTTTCACCCTTTTAATTGGATGGGGGAATAGAAAGACTAATATTTCGACTCCTATCCCTCCCACTCTATCGCGTTATGTAGGGATTCTCCAAATTGGGCCTGCTTCTTCTTTTCAGAAATGGTGGCGAATATTTCTTGCCCTCATCTGCCACCTCATCTACGCAGTCCACATACATTCTACAGCTTAACTTAATTTGACTGAAAAAAAAATCATGCATTTTCAGTTTCTCTAAACTCCATTGAAATATTTGCAAACACGTAATTCCCCTTAAAAAGGTAGGTGGATAGAGATTATTTAAAATGTAAACCAAGTTACACATGGGGAGAAAATAAAACACAAATTGCTCATGTTAAATGTCTTCTTCAGTACCAGGAAGGCAGATATGTATTTGCTTTCGATGACTAGGTCAAACTTTGGGATCAGCACAAGAAAATAAGCAGCAGCAAGTTTTAGTAAGAAATCATGCAGCAGTATTGACAACAATTAACTGCTGTAACACAGTGCAGGTTAGAAAACACAGATTAGGGTCGATAGAGTGTCTAATAAACCTGGATAGAACAAGGTGGCATGTTCATCTAATTCCTTACGAGCAGGTCATATAGACAAGAGAACAATTTGTTAGGAACCAAATTTCAAGGTAATGGTGAATCGTGCTCATTTAGAAAAAAAATAACTCGGAACACATAAGAAAATACTTGCATTTGACAAACAAAGAATGATTACAAGAACAAAGTTACATAAAAATTGCATTCACTGAAATTAAATATGACCTGATACGCAAGCATCGTACGCTGAGCATCTGGAGTTGTCAGCACTATAACTGTTCCTGTTGTCCCATCTTTGACTGGTGCAGAGAGAAAATTCACATTTGCCCGACGCAATTTTGCTCTACATAATACATGAGAAGCTTGTACATAAAAATGGCACTCGCTATGAACAATACAATCTCCTAAATATTACATAGCCTCTTTCATGTAAACTAAGCCTGTAAGCTATCGTGCTATACCCAAACTAAACCTATAAGCCCCTACAGTCTATTTAACATCTTTCATGCCTGTTAAGCAAAAAATGTTGTCTTAAACATATAAAATCCATCCAAATCCTCTCCAAAACAACAAAGCCAAAAATAGAGCCCTACCTGTAGAACTCACCAAGTGGATCACTACCAATGCTGCCAACCATAGCCACATTCAAGGCAGGCCCTCCAATGGGCTGACCACCAAGTCTGGCCAAGGCCACAAGACTATTAGAAAGAGATCCACCAGCAGCAGCCTTGTAGCTGCACCCATCCATTGCCCGCAAAATTCTACCCCTCTCCTCATGATTCACAACCTTCCTTGTACCCTTCTCTATACCCAGTCTATCCAAAAATTCGCCATCAACCACGCCAGAAAAATCTACCTAGAAGTTCAAAAAGGAGAAATAAACAATGCACGCTGTAATAATCAAGTACAGCCCAGTACAGAGAAAATGTGAGTACTATGACATTAAAATGGATAAGACATTTTAAGAATTTTAGACATTTGAAGAAGTGACAAATTATATGCAACTAATGCATTGAAAGGATATAGCATTTGTTCACCAATAATTTAAGACCCCCAACGCAACAATTTGGTAAGCAACTACTACATGATAAATCGAGCAGAATCTTCCAAAAAAAAACAACAACGTGAAGCATGTGAAAACAGATAAGAAATTACTGGAGTACATTTTGTCCAAATGGAATCCAAGATATTCAAAAGTACAACTAAACTATATCCCAAAGTCAGAAGAAACTTCAGTTCAAATAATCTGCCATCTTCCAAAATAAAAAACTTCCCATTTTTATCAGAACTCCTAATCAAAGGGAAATGAATTCGCAGCGGCACTTTATGAAATTAAACTTGAAGCAGAAAGAAAAAAATACAAAGGGATACCACCTTCCGTCCGTTCTGCTCAACACAAGGCGACGGAAGACAGAGAATTCAACGTTACAAGTAATTCAAAGAATTACGCCGTTATTTGAATTGTACTTCCTATCATAGATATTTTCCAAGGAACCAAAGGGAGGGAGTAATTACGCAAAGAAGCAGACAATGTAGAAATACCATGGCTTGGCCGAGACCTAACACGTCCCATCTCTCAGGCAAACTAGAAGGCCTTGGCCTTGTGCCCTCCTTGGAGCTATCAACGACAACTTCTTCATCCTCGTCGTCGTCAGGATCCCCATCTTCTTCTTCGCCGGCAACACGGTCCTCCCCTCCGCCAATAGAGCAGGAAGAGTAAGAAGACGATCTAGATGAAAAGAGCCTATGAAGGGGTTCGTTTGCTATCGACATGTAAGGTAAAAAGAGGTTAGCGCAATTGTGTGAGATGGTAATACCAGTCCCAGGGTCATGGCGTGGGATCTTAGTAAAAGGCGGAGTGGATGACGAAGATGAAGGTTGGGAGGAGAGGAGAGAGAAAAGAGGCGGATTTCTGATGTGAGAAGGAGCGGCAAGAATGGAGGAGGAGAATGAGAAGTGAGAGGCAGGAGAGAGGAGAGAGAAAGACATATCGGTTGGGGTTGGGTTTAGGATGGAGAAAGAGAAACACGTTTCTCCATCCACCTCCACTGCCTTCGCACCGTGCGCCTTCTTGGCCTCTGCATCTAAATCTAGTCTATTTAGGCAACGCCAAGTTCGGCTTTGTCTTCCTTTTTTTACCGCTTCTGCCCTTTTTTGACCTGCTTATTTGCTTTCTTTGTGCTGCTTTTTGCGTAATTCCAAACCAAATCAAGCAATAAATTTATTATATTTTTATTTGGACAAGTCATATTATTCCCAAGAAATCCTAATTTTTGGAAACAACATATTTTGTTTCAATTTTTTATTTCTCTTAAATCTATTTTATTTTTACCTATAATTTTAAAACTAATTTTGTATTTAGAAATCTTCTATTTTTTTATAATTAAATACTTGGAATTCGAATTTCCAACATTAGGTTTGTAATGAATGTAAATTTTTCCAAATTCGATTTCAAATTAAATCTAATTAATTGAATGTTGATTGAAATTCTTACATAATTATCTAATTCTAAACCATATTCAAATACGAACCCGTTATCTCCTATATGATAATTTTGGATTTAATATACTATTATTCGAGTTGAACATGGTCCAATCCGAATTATGTGTGTATATTAGTGTTCTAAAACTTGGCCTGACGGGTTGACCCGGTATACCAGTGTCTAAACCGGGGCGGTTCACCTATTGGATCGTTTATGTATAAAAATCGGAGTAAACTCGGTGGATCGAAAAAAAATGCGGAGAACCCATCAACCCAGGCAACTTTAATCAAACCAGCCAATTCATTAAATTTAGTATAAAATAAAGAATTTTGGCCCTTTTGGGCATTTTGCCGTAAATTGTTTCCAGCCTCGGTCTCTTTCTTGGCAATTGGTGGAGTGGTGGACAACTGGAGCCTGAGTCTCCTTCTCTTTCTCTCGTCTTTGCGGTCGACAGTAGTGTGCACTACGAGCACAAAAGGAAGTAAGCCATCCAGTGAGGCACTCGATCGAATACTTGAAATAAAAGGAACATTCGATTTCAAAGGAGAAAGCTGCTTCAAAGCTCCATCGAGGCATCGACGACGACCACCAGAAACTAGCAGTAGGTCCTTTCATACTCTCTCAATCTATCTGCTCTCTAACTCTTGGTGTATGACTCTGCTACATCTGATTTTTGATTTGTATTTTGTATACATTGAATTTTTGATAATTAATAATGCTATATTTTATACATTGAATCTTTGATAATTGATAATGCTATATTTCATACCTTAAATGAAGCTTTGATTTTTTATATATTTGTTTTCTTATCCTTTTGCATTGTTGAAAATCCAAAGTTGATTGTGGTTGTAATTGTGATGGTGATGAAGCCACTGAAAAACCTAGAATTATGGGCTTTATTTTTAATTATTTTCATTTGTTGATGTAAGAACTTTGTAAACTTAATCTATATTTTTAATAATAGTGGGATGTTGTTGATGCTAGAAAATTTTAAACTTGAATATAGATATATGGTGGTCTTTGATGTTATAGAATGAGATTTTGTTGGTGGTTTTTTGGTTTTGGATGCTCATATCAAAACATTATTGTAAATTTTTAGACTATTTATTATTATTTTTTATTATTTTACCGGTCTAATCAGTGACTCAACAGATTAAACTAGTAACTCATTGATCTAGTCCCTTTACCGAGTTGATATTCGGGCCGGGTTTTAAAACTATGGTGTATATATCTATATAATAAAGTAGTTAATTTCGTTTGTTTTGAGTATTTCGCAGCTCATATCGTTTGAGGATTATTGATCAGACGATCTTAATTGGACTTTTATTCCTCGTAAAACTTTAAAAATTCTATCTCTAATATCATTTTCTTTCTCTCTCTATCTTATAAACTCAACTTTCATACGTATATTAGTATATAACTATATCTCTCTCTCCCTTACAGATATTTTAAACATACACTATTCCATCTCTCATACTCTCTCTCTTATATATATATGAAATAGAATGAAAATCTAATTAGGATTTTCAAGACAAATAATATTATCTTATACTTTATCTCTTAGCATTCTTAGCATTATTTATTTGTCTTAACAATCCTTATTGGACTTATTTACTCAAAATATTTGTATGATTTTATAGATAAAAAAATATTTAAATATTTAAAAAAATTATGAGGTTGTAGATATTCAAAACTAAGTTAATTACCGATAAAAAATAACAAGTGATATTAATATCACCGAAAAAATAAAAATTCCAAAATCAAGTTAATCACTAATAAAAAATAACAAGTGATATCAATTGCACCAAAAAAACTAAAAAATTTAAAGTCAAGCTAATTACCAATAAAAAAATATCAATGATCAATAAAAAAAAATAAGTGAAACCAATTGCACCAAAAAAAATAATATTTTAAATCAACTATTAATTTTTTTTTCCTTATTTGTATTGTTTTCTCCTTGCTAATGTTCATATTTTTTAAATACTTGAATTGTGCAAAATAGACACCAAAATGATAAAAATATCCGTTAAATCAATTTTTTTAAGTAGTTAAACTTTGATTTTGTTGATTTAGTTTAATTGCAGCGTGAAAATATTTTTGTAGCATTCGAGAAGTCATAACTGCAAATTATTTAAATTAATTGTCTTTGCATCTACAAACAAATTCGTTGAACAATGTTAGTTTAGTTATTTTTTTTTTCTATTTTTTGGAAATTTGATTTGTAGTTCAATATGATCTGGATAACCTAATCATTAAATTTAGCAAGATATTGAAGAAATGAACACTCATTGGAAAAAAGAGCCACCATGAAAAAATAGATGGCAGGATAATTTTGTAATAGTGTTAATTTAAATTCATAGAGATTTTCAAATTGTATTTATTTGATATGATTTTTTCATTTCAATTCTTATATTTCTTTTACTTGAGACATTATTGGATGCCCAATTTTCTTGACACAGACTTTTTAAACATGCTCACTCCCATCTCTCATATTCTCTCTCTCTCTCTCTCTCTCTCTCTATATATATATATATATATAGAGAGAGAGAGAGATAGAATGAAAGAATTTTGCGGCTCAGATCATTTGAAGATTATTCATCCGATGATCTTAATTAGAGTTTCACTCATTTTAAAACTTCTATCTATCATATAACTCTCTCTTTCTTTATTTCATATGCTTAACTCTCATACGTGTATATATATATATATCATAGACATTTTAAATACACACTCTCCTATCTCTCATACTCTTTTTTTTTTTTTTTAAAAGTTTAATTGGGATTGTCATGAGAAACAATGTTATCTCATACTCTCTTTCTGTCTCTCTCTCTTAGCATTATTTGTCTTGAAGATCCTAATTAGACTTAATTACTCAAAATATTTGTATGATTTTATAGATGAAAAAAATATTTAAATTTTAAAAAAAAAATTCAATTATAGACATTCAAAGCCAAGTTAATCACCAATAAAAAATAACAACTAATACCAATTGCACCCAAAAAAAAATTAAAGTCAAGTTAATCACCAATAAAAAAATCATACAAAACAACAATAATCAAAACCAACTGTCAATTTTTTCCCTTATTTGCATTGTTTTTCTTTTATTAATGTTCATATTTTTTTTGAATAGTTAAATAGTGCAAAATAGACACTGAAACAACAAAAAAGTCAATTCAATTAAATTTTTTTAAAGTGGTGAAATTTTGATTTTGTTGATTTGGTTTAATTGCAGCGCGAGAATATTTCTGTAGTATCCAAGAAGTCACAATAGCAAAGAATTTAAATCAAATATCCTTGCAGTTACAAGTAAATTCGTTGGACAATGTTAGTTCAATTGAGTTTTTTTTTTATTTTTTAAAAACTTAATTTGTAGTTCAATGTGAACTAAACAACATATTCATTAAATTTAGTCAGAGGCTGAAAAAATGAATACTCGTCGGAAAGAAGAGTCACCATGAACAAATGTATGATAGGATAATTTTGTAATTATGTTAATTTAACTTCATGGGAATTATTGGATTGTGTTAATGTTATAAAATTTTTCTTTATTTAAACCCTTACACTTCTTTTATTTAAGACATTCTTGGATGTCCTGCTTGACAAATTTTTTGTGTTAAAAGTAAGTTCTGACATAGATAAAAACTAATATATATATATATATTATTTAATTGAAGGCGGACGACCCATTAACATTCATTCTTTCGGGATAAAGAAAGCCCAAGTGGAGGGCCTTGGCATCCACAAAAATTCCATTAACTTAGCCCACGCAACCTAAGGTTGGGCTTTAATTGAGGCCCAGGGCCTACCCACTTACATCTTTGGATTTGATCGGATACGTCATCTTTGAAGGCACAGCAATCCACGGAGAGCAGCACGCAGTGGAAGGAATAACAAGTAAAGAATGGAACAGAATGGAGAAGGCAAAATGGAATTAACGAAAGAGAAGGACAAGAAGAATAAGATATGCAAGAGGTGTAAAGTGGATTACAGTCCGTCGTTAAACGACCCTATTTCGTGCCGATTTCATCCTTCTTTCTTCGTTTGTCGTCGTCACGACGACCAGAAAAGGTAACCTAACAGCAGATTTCTTATAAACCTTCCCTCTATTTGATTTTTACCTTTCTTTTTTTACTGTTCATAGATGGTTATTTACTTCCGTTTTGTCTTACTGGTAGATTTTGCTGGATGCCTCGAGAAAAATGAGGCATTTGTGTTTCTTCTAATTCGATTACTACTTATTTACAATAACGTCTAATCGAAATCAGGACGATCAATATCTCTAATTCACATATTCATTAACTTTGCCATGTGAATTGGGAGTTTCAGATAGTTGTAATTTTGCACTGGAGACTAAAGGAAACTCCAACATTATTTCTCACCTTAAAATTTGCTAGATTCTGTGGGATTAAATGGCTAATTCAAGCTATGATGTTTATGTATAAGTTTACTCGTCTGATTAAGAAGTATGGATTAGGATAATTTGGGCCACTGGCTAAACTGATAATTCTATGCAGCAGAATTTCAAATATTGCAAGCGCAATTACCCATAAAACTATTGTAAGAGCAGGGGATAACTTAAAATCAGGTTGAACTGTCCATTAAAAATGTAGACTTTCTCTATTTCTTCTGCTTTAGGAAGTTTTTTGAGCCCACAGTGATATACAAAACCCAACACCAGGCCTAAATGCAGCAAATAAACCTGACCACGCAATATAACTTGACTGGTATAAGACCAAATAAAACATTTGGTTCAAAGACATTACCCATTTCTTGCAAGTACTGAAATTACACAATGACTTTGACATTAGAAGTCTGACAAAACACAAAAATAATTATTCTGCAACTTGATCTGAACATAACAATAGGCAGTAGGACGTACAATGGGGAGTAAGCCCTGTGTTCTGTAATCTCATTCTGCTATATGATTGGGTCATGATGCAAGATAGTAGGTCATACAATGGGGAGAGGATATGAACAGAAGTTATAGCGAGAAAAGGGCCAACCAATTATGTACTCCATTCACTCTTCTTGTGTCTTTGGTTTTTCGATGAGAAGTCAGCATGTGCCTGTGGTGTGGAGGGCAGGGTAATCTTGAGTTTTCTCAGCTTAAGTTGCACATTGGTTCTTCCCATTAGGTGTGAACATAAATTCATCCGAGGTATCTTTTTCAAGTTCCAGTTCTCTGTCATTTGCCTAGGATGGCATTCTTCTTAGGTACTCTTGAACAGACACTTGCAATTTATGTTGTGTTTGCCTTGAGATTCATTGCTGAAACTAACACACCTATATGCACGAACATAGCGACAAGAGGACACTCCTAAGAAACCTGGGGGGTCGGGGCAGGATGGTTGGGGACCTCACACAGCTTTTTTAGCTTGGCTGTCTGATGTCAATATTAACCACCAAATTTCCCAGAACGAATTTTGATGCTAAGGTGGGTTTATGACAAGCAGCTTTGCCAAGTAGGGATCTAAAATTAAGACGAGAAGTATTTGTCCGTTTCCATGCAATTTCTTCATGGAAGTAGTTTAACGGACAGAAAAGAATCACAAGGACACTGGCATGCATACTTCTGTCAATATGAGACACATAGCACTATGTTCAGCAATGATGGTGAAATTTTGGATTCCAAAGTTTCCTTCCTTGTTTATGGTTTAATGAAAGATCATGGCTCTTGAATCTTGATAGAGCACAATGGAGAAGCATGATTCATGTCACCGATCTTAAAAAGTTGGGATAAAGCTTTGATGAGTTGAGTTGAGATGACTTCTTGTCCCTTGCTTGGAATGAAACACCCCTTTATTGGAAGCTATATTAAACAAATTTTGTTGTTTATTTCAACATGTTTTTTCCTGATGTTTGTTTTTTTCTCCTATATGTGGGGAATTTTTTTTTCCCCTGAATAAGTGAATGTAATTGTCCACCTGGATATAATTGCACATATGTAAGTCCTGTTTCCCTTTTATTTGTGATTCTTGCTATAATTTAACAGAAAGAGATTTACTACTCAGGATTTCTGCATGTTATTTTGTTGAAGGTACTATGAACTGGGACCTGATGATCCTCCCTATGCTGCCAAATTCTATGATTGTTGTGGAGCAGAGGACCCTGAGGCATCCGGCTGCACTACTGGTTTCCATGTTTCTTATGATGACGACCAATGAAGTATTGCTCTTCTTCATCACTCCACCTTGACGGTAAATTAGAGGTCTAGAAAATTTGAATATCCTCCTCTGTTTATAAATTTTTTCTGTCTCCATTAAATAGCAGTGTTACGAATACATTCCTAGCCAAAGATGTATTTGGGGATGTTTTTATCTCGTTATTTGTTGGATGGGTTAGGAATATCCTGAGTCGAACTTAAACTCTGTTGTGACAGCAAAATAGAGAGGGCACCCTCTGCACAGGACAATGTTTTTCATTCCATCCTTGATTTGGGAGTTTGAGTTTGAGCTGCGTAGGTACAATATGTGCATGCACGGGCAGGTTTGTGTCCTTTTTTTTGTTCGCTTTCATGAGTAGGAAAAATATTTGTTTGTCCATGTGTCAACACAGTGTGGTTGTGTGTTTGGTGTGTTAGTATGCGTTTGCGTTTGGTGTATTAGAGAATGTGTGCGCGTGCATGTTTACTTTTTTTATTGTGTGTATGAGTGTGTGCATAATTTTTTTTGGTGTATTAGTATGTACATTTATTTAGGCTATTAGTGTATGCGTTGCACAGGGTACGAGTCTGTTAGCACAGTGTATGAGAGTGTGTTTTGATGTGTTCTAAAACATTACTTTTTTGGGTCAAAAGGCGATCCTAGTCCGTCACAAGATCTGGCCGTGTGTAGTAAATGGTCATGGACAGATATTTTAGAGCAGACGTGTGTAGTGTAGGTGTAGGTGAGTAGCTCTTACTTTTATTGGGGATTTACAGGATTCTCGTGAGGATGATGCCACTTTCTGGTGGTTGGGGCAAAGCGAAGGAATAAATGACTAATAGAATATTCGTCAATTTTCCAAGAGGAACATGCCCTTTTTTTTTTTTAAATTATTATTATTTATTTTCCTTAAAATCAGGCAGATGAGGCTGGTGTTACAGCTTATCTTTGCTGTCCCCACTGGTGCATGCTGCTGTCAATTTGATTTTGAACCCACCCCCCATGTGTATGGTTTGGTTTTTAATTTTTCAAAGGAGACATTTTGAACTGCTTTTTTTTTTTGGTTTCTTCCTAAGCATTTTTAAATCAGTCTTATCTGATCTGTCCTAGTTTGATTCTCGAGGCATTATTTATTAATGTACATTCATGTGGTTGCATTGCATGTAAGTTTTAGAAATGCACCATTTTGGTTGTATAGTTGTACAGCACTACTTTAATTTGATTTTCTTGGTTGGTTGCATAAAAACGGAATGAGAACTGCGACACACTCGATCAAGTGTTGGTTTCACTTTCACCCCACTGATCATCATTCTTGCCACTGTTTTAATCAACTTACAAATGATTTCGAGTGTGAAACTTGTAAGATATCGAATCACACCACATCGTTGTCAGTTCCTTCCTTATCAACTCAGTGTTCATCGCGTAAGCTTCAATCTTTAACAGGCTGGAGGAACTAATCAGTTTCAAATCAGAATTAGGGCTAATTGAATTGAATCACCGGTGTATTAGGCTGGTTGGGTTTTGTGGTGCAACATGCATGCTAGTTATGGATTGACTGAGGAAGTGTAAGACATACGCCAAGATAAAACAAGTCTCACCTAATTTGATCCATAATGTAATTATTATTATTATTATATTTGTCTAGCAACTGCAGGTAGGAAGATGAGGAAGCTTAATATGTGGGTCGATTGATGGTCTACTTCCTACCAATTCTTTGGTGGTGTTCTTTTGCCACGCCCAAAAGCTTTAAATTTAATAATTGCTCTATTATGTCGGACGGACATACATTCTTCTACGGAAAGTCTACGATAGAAAATTTTGGTATTATATCAAAAGTTATTATTTTTAATGACAAAGTTATAAAGTTGAAAGATAAAGTTACAATTAGTTGAGAGAAGTGATCATAAGATAAGATTTTTGTAACTTGTAATTTGGTCTTTGAAAGTTGTAATTTTTATGATCGATTGTGGTGTTTTAGGATTAAATGGTGATGGTTATGCTTATGCATATACTATTATTTATTAGGATTCTTCGACTATAACACCATAAAATAGAGAGAGGCTCATTATATAGACAAATAACCGCTTGGGTGTTAGCCTTTCTGTGCCTTACCTTCTCATTATGGAGGTCCAGTGGGCCCTTCTTAATCAGTGCAGTGTCGATGGCTTTAAACAAATCCTTTTCCCTAAAACTTGAGTTTTGTAGACAACTTGTAAGAGAAAATTTTATAAAGGACCAAATTAGCTTATTGGTCTATCAAGTGTGTATTCAGTGCTATTTGTATTTGCACCCCTCATTTTGTAAATTTATCATTTTAGTCCTTCCAAACTTCAATTGTGTCATTTTATTCCAATCCAAAACAATGGTTAAATCTGACCAACAAAATTGAAGGATTAAAAATTAAAGTAATACAAATTAAAACTTTAACAGACCAACGTGGTGCCTTGGGTGACTACTTCCGTTATTCAATTTTAGTAGAGATTTTATGATTGGGTCAAAGCAAGACAGATGAAAACTTGAGAAATTGCTGTGATAAAATTAAAAAATCAAAGTGACACATATATATAATAAGTATGCCAAAAATCCTATACAACACGGGGCTTTGGATGGTAGTATACATATCTATAGAAGGAATATGCTTAATATACTTTACACTTTTGGCAACGGAATCAGAGTTTAGCATGGGAAAATTGAAATTATGAGTAATTTGTCTCTTCTTTTTTAAAAGCTGGAAAGATAAATCAATGTAGAGAGAGACAGAGTGTGTGTGTGTGTGTGGGGAGGGAGGGAAATTAAATGATATTGTTACGACCGGACCCTTTCATCTTTTTGCTGAAAAGCTGGGTTGGCATGTTTCACTGGTCGTCTTTAACTTCCGAAAAACTATCACCCGGGGCTAATTTGGTCCACTTCAATTGTTTTTACACCTGCTAAAGTTATGAGAGACAGAGAAAGAGAGTGAGACCATGACCAGTGAGTTTTCAGAAAGAGAGAGAGAGAGAGATTACTTGTGTGGCCACTCTAGTCCAGAGACAGAAGAACACCAACCCAAATAATTCTTCTGTAAATTCTTCTCTCCCATCAGTACTACGAACTCTGCTTACCATACTTGGATACATCTATGATCTGAGAAACCTTCTCCCCTACATTCTCTTGTATGATAATGCCAGCAATATAGCAGCAACCCCCCACCCCCTCCATAGTCCACACACCCATTCAGCGAATTTTGATTCTTCTTCCATCTGCAGCGACATCTACTTTCCCTTCCATCATGTCTACCAAATCCAAGTAAGTGCTTTTCTTTTTTTTATCTTATCTGGATCTGATTCGGGCATTCTCATGTTTACCTTTTTTTCAGTTTATCCTTACTGGGAAATAAGTTCTCTTAGTTTTCTGTGTGGTGGGTTGGATCCATCTAGGTTAGAATTCTCATCTTTCTTTGGCCCCCAACCCCACTCTCTGTGTGAGCGTATGAAAGTGTGTAGGTTTTTTTTTTTCCCCTGAATTCGGTTACATTTGGCTATAGATCGAATTTCTTCGTTTTCAGTCTTGATCCCATTTCATTAGGGCTTGATGATTTTGATCTGACGTTGAATCAATTTGTCCCTAATTTTCAGGTGTAATTTATGTATGGTGTTTTCTCTCTATAATTTGTTTTTAGAATTTGTTACTTCTGTTTGATGCTGAATTTCTGTTACGAAGTTTGCATCTTTGGCTTAGATGCGTCTATATTTGTTTGCCCTGTACACTCAACTTATCAGGTTGTGGTTTTATGTCTCGCATCGCATGTATTATGAAATCGGATTCGATCTTGTTCTGTAATTTTTAAGATTTTTGGGTTTGCATAGATCTACTTCCTCTGAAACTGCCAACAACAACAAAGCATCACCAGCAACTCCGAGGGTCAGCAAACTGAGCAGGGGAGTGATTAAATCTGAGACTGATTCACCCTCTCCACTGCAGAACCCACGCCTCTCAGTGGATCGGTCACCTAGATCTGTTGCTTCGAAACCTACGGTAGATAGAAGGTCCCCAAAGCTCAGCACCCCGTCTGATGTAAGTTCCTGCAAATTTTCAATATTGATTCAGAACTGTGTTTAAAGTTACTATAATGGAATAAGAATTGAAGGTCCAGTTTCTCATTCTGCTGTTTTGGTTGCTTTACATTCAATTTTGGATTGGTTTTCAACTTGTGGCACCCAAATCAATGAAGACACTTTTAGCTTGTAGACGGAATGCAACAAGTGAATGAGGCCTACCAAATCTTCCGACACTAATATGCATAATGATCTGCATTGTGATTTTCCAGAAACAACCGACGCGGGTGTTGAAGGGCTCAGAATTACAGACTCAACTGAACCTTGCTCAGGAAGATCTTAAAAAGGCAAAGGAAAAGTTAGTTTCCGCTGAGAAAGAGAAAGCGCAAGCACTTGATGAATTGAAAGAGGCCCATAGATTGGCCGAAGAAGCAAATGCAAACCTCCGGGAGGCTTTGGTGGCTCAAAAGCGAGCGGAAGAGAATTCTGAGATTGAGAAGTTCCGGGCTGTTGAGATGGAACAGGCAGGCATTGAGGCGACTCAAAAGAAGGAAGAGGAGTGGCAGAAAGAGCTTGATGCTGTGAGGAATCAACACGCTGTGGATGTGGCTGCCCTTCTTTCCGCCACTCAGGAGGTCCAAAGGGTGAAGCAAGAACTGGCCATGACCAGCGATGCCAAAAACCAAGCGCTTAGCCATGCTGATGATGCAACTAAAATTGCTGAGATTCATGCTGAGAAAGTGGGGATTCTTTCAGATGAGGTGGTCCGCTTGAAGGGCTTGCTCGATTCCAGGCTTGCAACAGAGGCTAATGAGCACAAATTGGTGGCAGAGCTAAAATCAGAGGTAGAGACTTTAAAGCAAGAACATGATAAAGCAAAAGGTTTCCAGGAGAAGGTGCTGGAACAAGAAGTTTCTTTGGACCAACTTAATGTTGAGTTGGAGGCTGCAAAAATGGCTGAATCTTATTCCCATAATTTAGTTGAAGAGTGGAAAAAGAGAGTTGAGGAATTAGAGGTTCAGGTTGAGGAAGCAAATCGGTTGGAGAGATCTGCATCAGAATCCTTAGAATCAGTCATGAAACAGCTAGAGGCAAGCAATGATTTGTTGCATGATGCAGAATCTGAGATTGCTTCTCTTAAAGAGAACATGGGATTATTGGAAATCTCTACTGGAAGGCAGAGAGAGGATCTTGAGGGATCAGAACGTCGTTTGGATGCTGCCAAGAAAGAAGCTTCTGAAATAGCAAAAAAGGTCGAATCGCTTAAGTCTGAGCTTGAAACTGTGAAAGAGGAAAAAACCCAAGCCTTGAACAATGAGAAGCTCGCAGCTGCCAGTGTTCAAACACTATTGGAAGAGAAAAACAAACTCATAAATGAGTTAGAGAATTCAAGGGATGAAGAAGAGAGAAGCAAGAAGGCAATGGAAAGTTTGGCTTCGGCCTTGCATGAAGTTTCTTCAGAAGCGAGAGAAGCCAAAGAAAAGCTATTGTCTGGTCAAGCTGAGCATGAAAACTATGAAACCCAAATAGAATATCTGAAGCTTGTTTTAAAAGAGACTAACGAAAAGTATGAAAGTATGCTTGCTGATGCTAAGCATGAGACTGATATTCTTACTTATTCGATCGAACAATGTAAGCATGACTTCCAGAATTCCAAAGTTGAGTGGGAGCAGAAGGAACTTCATTTGATTAATTGTGTTAAAAAATATGAAGAAGAGAACTATTCTTCTAAAAAAGAAACCAGTAGGCTGGCAAATTTGCTTAAAGAGGCTGAGGAAGAAGCTGCTGCCACTAAAAAGGAAGCTGCTCAGGTGAAGAATACCTTGAAGGAAGCTGAATCTGAGGTGATTTATCTAAAGGAAGTTCTTGGGGAAGCAAAGGCTGAGAGCATGAGGTTGAAGGAGAGTTTATTGGACAGAGGAAATGAATTGCAGAGTATTATTCAGGAGAATGAGGAGCTTCGAGCTAGGGAAGCTGCTTCTCTCAAGAAGGTTGACGAGTTGTCTAAGTTGCTTGAAGAAGCTATGACCAAAAAACAAGCTGATGAAAATGATGAGCTTACAGACAGTGAAAAAGATTATGATATGTTACCAAAGGTGGTAGAATTCTCTGAACAGAATGGGGATGGGAGAGCAGAAAATCCTAAAATGGAGCTCTCACCTCAACAATGTGAGCAACCTGTCAAAGTGGCAGAGGACAAGATCTTGCATAATGAGGCAGTTAAGACCGGTACCGAAGTCGAGACTTTGAATGGTAACCCAAAAGAGGATGACAACAAAGAAAAGGAAGATGATGATTCGGTAGAGGTTGAATTTAAGATGTGGGAGAGCTGCAAGATAGAAGAGAAAGACTTTTCAACTGAGAGAGAACTAGAGCAGGAATCCTTTGAGGAGGAACTGGACTCAAAGGCAGCAGCTGGTGAGAGCTATGACCAGATAAATGGGTTATCTTCAACAGAAAACCTCGACAATGGTGGAAGTTCACCAACTAAAGAGCAAAATCAAAAGAAGAAGAAACCTTTGCTTCGTAAGTTTGGAAGCTTACTTAAAAAAAAGGGCACTAGCAACCAGAAGTAATAGTCTAGTTGTTGCTTGGCTTGTGCCTTTCCAGTAGGGAGGTACATTGGATTCTATCTTGCACCCGAGTGTATTTGAGTTTATGCTTTTTGCTTCCTTTTTTTTCAGAGTAGGGGATGATGTTAAGGGGTCTACCGTCTAGAATTTTTTATTTTTATATTTTCTTGATGTTGTTCCCCTTGATGGGAATATCTTATGTGCAATTGAGATTTCTTTTCTTTTTCAGTTGTTTTCGAATCTCTTCTCATCAAATTTCATGGAAAGGAGTGATAGCTTAAAAATGTATTTTAATGCCCTTTCGTCTATTTGTCATGGATAAATCATTGTGTATAGTAACACATTAAGTTATGTAGAAGCGCTATGGAATTTACACTGTTTATTTCCTGGTGGTGTTTCATGAGAAGATTATTGCTGTATCAGGATATTTATTGATACTGAAGTGAATTCTCTATGCTTTTTCTCTGTTCCTGCGAGCATGAAGTTCATCCACTTGAGGGTGGTTGAATGGTTCAATACAAGTTACCATATTCTGTTCTATGAGATTGTGTTTTATTCAGGAACGTGCCTGGATTACTTGCAAATTAAAATTTCTAGTTCAAAAGTGCTAAATTTCAAGTTGGATAAAGAAGGACAGCTCAAAATGTTCCAACAATTTGGGAAACCTGGAAAAGATTTGGAACAATCTGCAGAATCTGTTATACTAAAGGGGTTTCAATACGACTCATTGAAATTCCATGTGTTTTTTAGGGGGCTGTTCTCAGAAATTATTGGCGTACACATTATTACCAACTGATATGAGACATTGCTGGAAATATATGCTCGTTGCAATGCAGTATTGAGTGTAATGTCATGGGTGGCATGTTGCAGGGAGGGACAAGGTGCCCGAAACCACCTCTAGAGTCGAGACAGAATAGAATGTCGCGTGAATGTTGAAATTACTTCCAAAAATAGATTGTTCCTTATTACAGGTTGCAAAATTGATAATTGATGTTGCTAATGCTATGCTGTTTTTATAACTAATGTTTTTGCTGTTAGGTTTGATGGGATTTAGTGGATTTGTTTTGTGTGCAGTATATATCCTAATCCAAATGTCCGTCCACCTTGAAGATGTGCCTGTACCGCATAGTTTCGTTAGATTTGGGAAAGGGAAAATGACAAAGTCACATCACATAGTGTTTGATCAACCGTTTACACATACATGCTTGTTTACAATTATAAAAACCATACCTGTTGGGTAACCTCCTCCAAAATGGAGGTTTCCACGGAGAGAGCAGATGAAAACTGTATTTGGGGTTGGATGATTATTTATAGCCTACCAGATTGGTTGCCTACTGTATTTGGGGTTGCATATGGAAATCACCAAGTACAACATTTCTGAGGGGCTATTGACCCAACCCACCCACCCAAACATTTTCTTATCTTAGGGACTGCATGCCTATTATTGCATTTGGTTTGGGTAATAGCAAAGATCTGTATCATATTATTAATGTGTAATTGATAAAAGAATGGTTTTCTTTTAACAAGAATCTAGTAGTTGCCCCGCCCCGCCCCGCCCCAAATGGGCTTTTCTTCCACAATAGCTAAAGAGCTGCGTAGGATCAATGTGCGGTTGTGGCTCCAGACGGACTCCTTATCTTGCAGATTAAGACATAGAAATGGTAAGACGAAATACGCGTTATCAACACAACCAACTCTCTCACCTGATCTCATCAAACCTACTAGCTACTTTATTAAAAGATCCTTTCCTTTCATTTCATTTGGCGGTGTGTGGCACGCTCGCTAGCTCAAGTGCTACCCACCGCGTCGACTCAACCAACATACAAAATATTAAAACTTAACTCTTATTTATTTATCGTCTGTATTTTTTTATCTAAATTTGTCATTAATTTTGATACGATTTCTCACATGAGCCGAAAATTAAGGTATAGCATAAGAAATTCGATCAAATTTAAAAATAATTAATTTGAATGAAATTACCACATTCTAACAAAAATATTATAATTCAAAAAATTAAATTAACACAAACCACTTAATAGACGTAAATAGTATCCATAAGAGAGCCACTAACGAAGACTTTGTCTTTTTAAAATTAAAGTTTCAAATTTCATTCTCCTCCCTCTTCCTAAAAAAAAAAAATTGGTAAAAGGTTCCCTTCCTAAAAACAAAATCAAAGAATTATTAGAATTAAAAGAAAAAAAAAAGTTAACTCACACCTTTGCTTTGCGACCATTTTTAAACATGTTCTTTTCTTTCTTTTTCTTTTCTTATTTCAAACTTGAAGCTCTCTGTTCGGCATCTTATCTCTGAGTGATTTGGAAGTGTCATTATTAGTAAGTAAATCAATTTGGGTTGACGGTAGGAAGGTATGTGGGTGGAGCTGATTTGTGGTCTGGTAATCTACAGATTGGTCCGTCGCTTCTTCTACGATGATGATATTTTCGAGCTCGAATTGTCCGATTCCAATGTCCTCTTCTCCGTCGCCGAAAGGTAAATTTGCCTTCCCTCTTTCTTTCGACCTTTATAGATCCTGCTTACTTCCTACGGAAATTTGTACATGGGAAAAAAAAACTATAAACGTTTAATGTAAAGACTCCGTATTTTCAGTGTTTGACATCAGAAAATTGTTTAAGATCAAAAGAAAAATCAGAAAATTCTTTAAATACCTCTTAGCTCTGCCGAAGGTGAGTGAGATCGGGTGATGAAAACCTTTTGCTGGCTATTTGTAGGCTTGAAAAGCTATATGGTGGTAAAGCCTACGTAGGGCTTCGGATTCCCGACGCTGATACAGGTTCGCGACAGAATATTGATATGGTTCTCGTCACCAAAGGGTAGGTACAGCTTTCTATTCACTATTTGGTTGCCTTTAAATTGAGTTCAGTTTTTTTCTTTTTTGCTATAGATTTCCGTTTACTGGAACCACTCCGTTAAGCTTGGTGAGATCATTTTCTTATTAGTTGATTGGATTATCTCATTAACATTTAAGAACGAAATCAACATAAAAAATATACAATTCAGAATTCATTTCCCGTTCTTATAGTCAAGTATCCAGAATTCTAATTGGGTTGTACATTGTGTGGCTCGATTTACAGTGAGGCAGTGGTGATATCTGTTAATAATATATCGGGATTCGTATCTATCGATAAGGACAAAAGTTGGGTTTGCACCGGCGGACATAAGCACAAAACAAAGCATCATCCAGATCCTGTAAGTTGTGATTCCATTTTTGCTCATGTGATTAATTTATTTACCACTGTTCCTGCGATTTTATCCCCTGATTAATGCTTTCATAGAATTGATAATCCGCTTTGGGCTTCCAGCTGTTTTTTTTCCTGTTCCCCATGATTTAAATAATTAATCGAGTGTGATTAGTTTAAATTTGTAAGGAACGATTTGTGATATCTTTTTGGTTCACTGGCTATGTTTATGAAACGAATGTCATTAAACTCGTTTCTTTCTCTCTTCTTCCTGTGCAATCTTAGCTATTCAAGTTCCCAAGTGAAACATATTTTTTAGGATCTTCCATATGAAACTTAAATTTCAAGAAGCAGAGCACCAAGTTTTAATCATAGTCCTTGTCTCTTTGACCTTTGCAAAAGCCATTATGATCATGTAAATCCTCGGAGGGAGTTGCATCAGTATTAAATTTTAAAGCCACCCTAGAGTGTGTTGACGCACTTCAGGTAAAAACCTTGCTAGGTAAAAAGTCGAAGTTAGAAAGAAGTTACATTTTGCAAATTGCAATTACTATGTTACTGAAAGTGCAAAAAGAAAGTACTTACCTGGTCTATCTCTTGCTTTCAAAGTTGTTAAACTAACCTTGAAATTAACTCCCTCTCTCTCTCTCCCCAAAACCAAAAATAAAGTTCATCCAAGTCTAAATGCATTCGGCTGTGGATGTTATGTTTCCAACTGGTTCACGAATTTCCCTGAGATCTTTCTACCCATTCTGGGGAATGGACACCTATCAATCAATCATTACCTTATTTGGGGGATTGACACCCCTAAAAACTAGTTAAGTGAGAGAGTAAAACTAGTGATTTTGTCAATATGCCCTCTTGGATATTTACATCTTATATGGTAAAGGTACTGAACTTTTCTGGTGCTCCAGGCAACAGATTTTGAGGGAGGCTTACAAAGATTGTGATAGTCCTTTCTTTTATTTTTTCTTTTTTCTTTGGTGGATGGGAAGTGCATTACAAGGAATTTCTAGTGGATAGTTCTTCATTGGAAGATACTGATTTTCGTGCTACATGGTGTTTTCTCTGCAAAATATGAGAACTGGGTTGAGGATGTAATATAGTGTATGTTTCAGGTGGCAGAGATTAAACAACAAGCTGCCATTCTTGAAGCATATCTTGAACAAAGGGGAGTTACACTTCCAGAAGGATATTTATCTTGCAGAGTTGTATGTCCCAACCCAAATTTCCGGTATGCCCAAGAATTCTCGTTTTGGTGTGTTTAGATAGTGTCGTATACTCCTTTAAGAGGGGAATTGTTAACATAAATTTTCTTGTCTTGAATTTTATTGCTTTGTTCTTCTTCAATGAATTAGTGATCTCATTGCCCAAGAAAAATTTGTCCCCAGCACTGGAATCTCTATTGGCCTTGCAATGCTTATATTGCTTAATTTGGCTTAGAGGTCTTTGACGAGTTTTGGTTTTACGTGGTGGGAACTATGTTACATATTTAAGCTGATCAGAAACAATATGTTTCACTGCTGAAAGTTTATCATCAGAGTTCGATATGCCCCCATAGCCAAGTTTTCATGTATTGATGCTATGAACTTACAAAGAAAATTGGGCTCGTGAGAACTCGGAGGAAATATTTACGTTGTCTTAAGCTGTGGACACAGACATGGTTGATTGTCTCTAATTGACAAGAAATAAATTATGAATGGAAAAATTAGGGGTGGTATTGTTATTTAGGTTGCAACATTATTTTGATCATTTATTGCATAAAGATTTATAAATTTGAGTCTCTTGGGAGCTGACACTTTGTATCTCCTAATTTTTATGCTTTTGTAAGTACTAGTTGATGCACACGTGAGTTGCACGTAAACCATTTTTGATTATAATTGAATTATAATAATGCATATATAAGTATCATGTGTTCATACATCTATAATTGATTTTACATAAAATGTAAACAAAGTTAAAAAGGTCAATAAATATAGAATGTAAAATAAAAAATGTAAAAAATTATTAAACACAATTAGAAAATTTACATCTCATATATCTTTCTATTAAATTTCATTTATTTAGTTTGAATTAATTCCTTATGGAGTGCATGCAAATGAAAAACACAGTTTCTCTTTCTTTAAAAGAAGAAATGTCTTAATAACAACAAATAAAAAGTCAATGTTAATAACAATAATGTTATTTGAACCTAATTTGCTAACATCATCCATCAAAACTATTAAATTGGTTGTGGGTCATAACAAATACTGGAGTTCACAGTCAATCAAATAATTATGAATGATTAGGTCAATAAATTAAGTTCAAATAACATTGCTTATAACATATAGATGCATTGAAACAAAAAATAGCACAATTCTCAATCCAAAGGCTTCTAATTATTTGTCTACTAATCACTACTCATACTCTCAATCTCAATTGTCAATTTCACTTTATTTTTCCTGCCTTCTTTCTTCTCTTCGTGGTCATAGGCAATGTAGAGAAAAATTAAAAAGTTCAACCATCTTTATACCTTGACATAATATTTTATTGGACTATTTTTGCTTTCTTTTTTTTTTCAACCACCATTATTATTTTTTATCTGGGCGTTGGTCCTTTTTTGTTTTGAACATTTCATAATCCAATCAGCATATAGACATAACAAATATTTAGGAGTCGATAATCTTCACTTTTTTGGGGGGAAAGAATGACCTTATAGCTTTTACATAAAGGGCACATGGATAACTGATGGACTGAGTTTTATAAGAATTGGTTATTTACAAAAAGATTAGGGTATTTTAGGTAAAACCTTATTCGTTAGTAGACTCTTTTACTAACTTGGGCCAAATTTTCAACTTAAGTAAACTACACTTTTGAGTTTTCCATCTTCAAGAATCTTCTCAACAATCTATCGCATTTTTCCCTCACCCTTTACAGTATCCGTCACTTTTTTAACCATCTCATCCACAGTTTTAACTTCTTCTGAAATTTGAGTTGTTTGCGCATAAAAAATACGATATAAGAAATATAATCACCACTAACAACTATTCATGGTCTCTCAAGACTCATAAAACATGCAAATAAGTATCACCATTTTACAGGAGTAGATATAATTTGTTCAAGAATCTCGTGAATTT